AAGCATTTGCCGTCACATTGCAAAAGGTCATTCAGAAGGAAAGCATAAACACATTTTGTTGCTTCAGATTTAGACTGTTAAAAGAAAGACATAATAAACACTTCGGTGGTTATAAGAAGCACGTAGTTTGTATTGAATGCCAAAGACTAAGCATAACACACCCAGATATTTGGTGTGAATGCAGGAGGAACAGTGAGACCTCATCTGCTGCAGACAAGGTCCCAGAGACCAGCTTTCCCAGATTTCAGTTAATTTCAATAGACCACTGTGAAGGCTGCCGTAGTCCCTGAAAAGAAAGGAATGGACTTATACTGTATCTTGTTAGTTTCTTCATAGTAAGACAGCCTACAGGATTGTTGAAATCCATATTATAGAAATACTGCATATTTTGAATGAAAAAGTCACTCAGTCTCGTTCTCTTAGAGTTTTAAATAGATCAACGGAGTTTKCGTGCCCATAAATCCATAACCTGGAAAGGACCTGGGGAGCCCATTGYTTTCTTTCCTCTTCCCTTTGAAGGTGATAAAATTTAGGTGCAAAAACCTGGTGTCAAGTAAAAATGAATCTGGACTTAGGAAGAAGCTTTTATTTAGAAGAGAGATGACTGCAATAGGGACAATGTTCTGGTCGCAGAAATGTGCCAGTGTCCCCAAAACAAACAGAAAAAGGGTGTTCTTTTATAGGGGAAAGGCGGGGCAGGCAGAGATCAGCAGAATCCCTGCACGGGGAGTTGGACATTCAGGGGGAAATGCTCYGTGAGCCTAGACAGGAAAGTGTCCTGCTTTGGTCAGCCCACTCCCAGGGGATACTGATAAGGGGACACATTCCTCAAGTTTTTTGCTTGCTCAGGGTTGAGGACAGTGGGATTTAGGAGCCTGTAGCAAAAAGAGGAGCCTGATTCAAGTTTGACAAGAAAAAGCAGAAGGTGAGAGATGGGGAACTGTGACCACGTGGCCATTGGAGGGAGGCRTCCAAGATCTCCAGCCTGGAGCTGTCTAATCTGAGGTGCCCTCTCTGGACTCACATAACCTTTCCACCTGCCCTTTACCCAAGATCTCTCCCTTTGCCTTCATCTCAGTTTTCTCTTTCTGAAACATCATTTAAAGAGTTGCCTAAAGATACCTGACAGATACCAAACTGCTTTTCAAGAATTCTCTCTAAATACTCTCCCAACTATTTGTGTGAACATTCCTTTCTTTACTTGCTCATTCATTCATTCACTTACTCTTCAAATATTTTTTTTAGCTTCTTTATGGCACAATATGGTGGTAAATTTGGTGTCCCTGCTCTTAAAAACTATGCAGCCTAGAGGGATCCATTAAACTAATAAATGTCTAGTTTTAATATAGCAGGAGAAGAGTTATGAGGGGCTGCTGACTCTCACCCTAACCTAACTCTATCTCTAGTCAGCCCTTCTTAACTAAGGGTACTTTTCTTTCTGGGGCCTAGATGGCTATATGTGAAGATGTATTTGGTTGTCATGATGAGGAGCATCCTGCATCTAGGATTCAGAGGCTGATGATGTGGCCACACATCTTACAATGTGTGGGACAGCCCCTCCACCCCAGCAAAGGATTATTCAACTCCAAACATCAACATGCTGAGGATGGAAAAGCTCTGACCTAACTGATCACGTGTTGGGGAGCACATGTGGCTATGGACCCATCCCAGGAGAAACTCATCTTCAAATGTGCATTAAATAGATGTCTTATGGTGTGTTCCTACCATGTGCAGAGCCGAGCAGACAGCTGTCAGATTTCATACCATTTCCAGCCTTCTTTCTTAAAGACCCGGTTGCCTTTTAGCAACCCGAATATGTGGTTTTGCCTAAAATTTTGATGCTAGGTCCTTGCTACTACAAGGGTACTAAAAATCATTTAATTTTAAAGAGTTTTAGGCACTGACTTTGCTGGAATTTTACCTTTTCTATACATGTCTCAAGTAAGAGTGTATCACAGGACTGGGGGCGAATCTACCCCCACTTCTCCCCAGGAGCAAGTATTTACAGTGGAAATGAGCTTAATAAGATCAAATCTTAAAGAAGGTTTCTAGAAGTCAAATGGGAACTTTCAGAAAGGAAAAGGAGACTATTAACAACGGATCCTGAAATTTCCAATACCTAGGTGGGTGTGGAACCACCCAAGTTCAGAATAAATATCTTCAAAGTCTCATTTGATGTGAGAGCTTTGTTATGTCAGGAAAATACATGTGCATTGTTGGGGTAACTTCAAAGACATCTCTGGGCTCTGCCCTTCTTATCATAGGCCAGTAGGACTTGCATTAGCACCCCCTGGAGCACCGGTGCCTGGGACACTTTGCCTGTCCCTCCCTGCACCTCCTTTCTTTGGAAAAGTGTTTCAATCATGACAAAACATAAGCTGGGAAGGGACAAGTATCTAAAAACCCCCAAGTACCACAGCTTCTTAGCTGGAGGGACATTTTGACCAAACAGAAAGTTCAGGAGAGGGTTCGAAGTTGGATACTGGATCTGAAGACCCTCAAGCACCAGCGAGATTCTCAGGGCCCTCCCAGGCCACCCAATCTTCCTGCCTTTTTCCTACTGGGTAAAATGCAACCTCAGAAATCCATCTCTAATTGAATAAGGATGAAGCAGACACCAACCAACTCCAGGGAAAGCAGTGAAGTGAATTCTTGGCACYGGCTCCTACCTACCACGAGGGGCTGCCTCACCTGCCACCGCACACCTTGCTTTGCCCCGCCCCACCTGGTGTGCTTCTGGTCTTCTGTTGTCACTATCACCACAATCAATAATTRCTACTTCTTAGGAGGAGGCTTGTCCCTGGTTCTTACCAACAATAGTGAAATAATATGCATAAGGCCAGACAGAAAACCATGCAGGACAGCCAAACAGCCTGGCTATGGAGATGGGAGGGAAAGTTTCAGAATTCACTGTTATTCTTGCAGATAAATCAGAAGGCAACATATATACTGTTAAGGAAAGAAGCAACATCATTATTAAAGTTATTGATTTGAAATCTTTGAAATATGTTAGCCAAATATCTTTGGCTATATCCTGGAGGAGAAAATTTATAATATACTGACTATCACATGTATTTGGATGTGAACAGAATTTTCACTAAATAGAATGTWTCCTTGTGAGCTGATAGGATCCTTACATTACCCCCTCACCCACCCACCCCATCTTACACAGTCTTACCTGACTCTTTGATTTAAATATTGGTCAGATTGGGAGTACTGCTCAGTGGTAAAGCACTTGCCTAGCATGTGCAAGGTCCTGGATTAGATCCTCCGAAACAGAAAAAAGGAGGGAAGGAAATAAGACCTTGGTCAGCAACCCCACTGAACTGTTCAAGATCTATAATCGGTACAGGGCCAATTTATGCTTTTGTTACAGACCTGGGCCCTTCCAGGAAACTGAGGCAGTTCAAAGATCCCCCTCCCCACTGCCAACCCTGATTTTTCAATCAAATCAGAAAGATTTCAGACATGTTGCTCAGAGTGATAGAACTGAGCCTATTGAAAGGACAGGAAAAAAGAAAGGGACACTCTCAAGGGAAAGAGTGGGTCCTCTCAGAAAGGAGAGGGACAGTGTGCCTCTCCTGCACCCCAGTTTTATTAAGGATCCCAGAGACATTTCCAGAGAGTCCCACCTGGGTCCACCTCTTGAGATTTGACTGGCAGCAAGATGACATCACACTTCCAAGTCCCACTGCCATGGCAACCCTAGGTTATTTTGGTCCGTGCTGACTGGTTCTCATTGGATTCTTTACTACTAATTCTGACAGATTTTTTGGTTAGGAGGAATTCTCCTTATCTCCCGAGTCTTGGGATCTGGTCTATGAAAAGGGTCACAAAGTCTTCCCCTYCAGGGCAACGTGGGTTTCTTTTATTGCCATTATTTGGGGCCTGCATTTCTCTTGTAGATAACAGGTAGTTTGCTGAGGAATGTGACCTATCGTGTCCACTTAAGCCAGGCAAGACTTGCTTAAATTGCTTCTTAGAAAAGAAAGCATGTAGGGGTCAGCACAGTGAGCCCAGTTGCAGAAATATTCCCTTAACCTTCTGTTCACATCTCTCTGTCCCCTATCACTTTGGACTATAAGCCACAAATCTTTTTCTGTTTTTTATTATTATTTTTCACAATTCTTGTCACATATTGTTGCTGTTTTTCTACAGCGTGCACTGTACACTGTCGTGTGTGCCATGGCTCAGTTTGCCCACCTCATGTCCACAGCTTGCAAACGACAGCTAGAGTTAGTGAAAGACTAGAGAAAGGAAAGGGTCTTGATGGTTCAATCTGAAATCTCCAGTTGTCCAAGGACAGGCCACATTTGGTCAGTAGGATGCTACCTTGTCACTGATGTCTTTAGGGAAAGGTAGAGCTTCAACAGTCTTTCATGACATTAGCTGCCTCTTTTGAATTTTGTAACTGAAGTTTTATTTTTTTCCAAACTATCTAGTCTTCAGTGTTGAAATCATTACCACGGTGTTATCCAAGATTACAGTTCGAATGCTTAATAATTCATTTTGTATTAAAAATTATCAAAAACTCTGTTKTTTACTTAAGACCGACCTTACAATATACAATTACCTTTACATTAACATCCCTTTTGGTCTTAAAAGTCATCTTATGAAGGAAGCTAGCCAGTATGGTTCTGGCCTTTTGAGAGAACCGAGTGGATTAGACTGGAGTTTTAATTGACTTGCCCACTTGGGAAGTGATAGAACATGGATAAAACTTGAGACAGCATTTTTTTTCCCATTGATTCAGTAGTCCTCTTTGGTATAAATAGCAAATATGTCACATTAACCACATGCTGTATACTCTTCCTAACCTTAGGTTTTGTAATTGGAGGTCTCATGAGCTTTCTCTTCTCAGGGCTCCACATCACTGAAATATACTCATTATAGTTATTTCCAAACAGCCTAACCATTTTTTTTTTTTTTAACCATGGAGTATCTCAGCTACATAGAATATGCACATTTTCTTCACATGGATAAGATAAAGTCTTGCATACCAACTCCCCAAGGTTTCAAGGGCTTCTACTGCTCCATTATAGATTGAAAAATCTTGGGATGGGGCCTTGTCATCCCACAGGATCTGCACATAGTTCAAAACCTGGTTAAAACCCGCTGTGGAAAAAGCCCACCACAGGGACCAGTAGAAAAGACGCTTTGAGGAGTAGCACTCCCACAGATCCTGGAACCACTGCACGCAGCTCCTCCAAGCCTCATGTTTGGGCTTAGGGCTGCTGGCCTGGCTCTCCTCCCCAYGCCTGGGAAGGSTGCCTGCTTCTTGGTGGGCYGCTTSRTCACCTCTAAGGGCTTCCTCTGGGAYGGCAKTCTGTCCTGGTGTCTTCTGAGAAGCTTGTTTGCTGGGTTTTGCGTGGAAAAACATGCTCTTCTTGGGCATTGGCAGAAAGAGTGAGAAGAAGAAAGCCATGGAGACAGAGGCCAAGGAGATGACRTTGAGGTGGAAGTAGGACACGTTTGCCAGGGAAACCAGGAGCTGGGCCAGCACCGAGGCCGCTGTGTAGGCCACCAGCGTGACACTCCGACAGTAGCCGCTCACCTTCTGGTAGTGCTCTGGGCTGACCACACTGTAGATGTAGGCATAGTAGGCCACCTCGGTGGCCGACACCAGACCATAGACAAATTCAACCAGCTGCATGATCTTCACTCCTTGGCCAAACAGGAGCAGCAGCCAGGTGASGATGAAGCTTATCCCCTGTAAGACGATGACCGGCTTGTAGCGGACGTAATCAGTGAGGACAAACACGGGGAGCAGCAGCACCAGGTAAGAGTAGGTCCAAAGTGGAAAGTTAGTTGTCTTTTGTGGTCTGCAAAATTAAACGTGGAGAGCTCGAGGGCAGAACTACCAGGAAGTGAACTGAACTGTGGGTCTCTGACACAGACATGGTTAAGATGACGTGCATCAATCCCTGGACACATTGCTTGGCCTCTGCCAAAGTGGGTCCGATTTCATACTTTACAAGAAGTTCTGACAATATGTTGAAAAGCAACACAAAACCTAAATTCAAAGAAACAAGTTGGAAAATGACAGATATTTGTAACTGGTGGCTTTATACCTCCAGGAAGGTGGAGGGGGAGGAGGAGGAGGAAAAAGAGGAGGAGGAGGCAGAGGAGAAAATCCTTGGCCTCTGTCTGTTCTGTGCCTTTTTCTCACTCTTTCTACCAATGGTGAAAAGGAGCTTGTTTTTCCATGCTCTCAGATGAGTCACCTGCTGTTAACTTTTAAAAAATGTAATTTGATCTGCATAAGCTACTGAGGTTGGGGAAAGAGTTAATCTTTTTACACTTTGACTATCCAGGGCAATGCAGGACTGCTGAGGTTCTGGGCTTGTGGGTACTTAACAAAATAGCTTACTCCTCTTCAAAGTCAGAATCAAAAGGTCAAAAAAGATGACTCAGTACTGGAAGAACTTGATCACCATCACCTTTGATCCACATTGGTGCTTGAATGAGCGTTCCATTGAGATACCATCRGGACCATCAGTTAAATATGGTACAAATGACTGGTTTGAGGTTGAAAGTCAGATAAAGAAGTGTGTTTGAGTCACTCCTCTGTGTTTCCCCATTCTTGGCTGGGCTTCTTWGGCTGCTCTGGAGGAACCAGGAGAAACTACTTAGCTCCCTTTCTCCCGCCAACGTTCTCATGGAACACAGGTAGCATTAGCAAATTATCTGAACGAGGCAGTAGTACGGAAATGATGCATGGATGGAAGATGACATAAAGGAGGCAGGATAGTCCCTCTCAAATCTCTCTTCTCTTTGAATTTTCAACCCACTGATTTTCTGAGCCAGAGAATGTACTTTGACCTAATCTGGGACCTTGAGGTTCCAGGTCGACCTTTACCCAAGTGCTTCTGTAGTTTGGAGAACTTTCTTCCTTGATTTTAGAAATAGCTACTAATCTGGGAAAGGTCTCATTCCAGCTCAGCTTTATTGAGTCCCTGGAGTCTAGGTCCAGCCCAGTGAATCTTCCAGCTAAAGCAGTTTGTGCCTAATGGCAGCCAAGATTGGCATGCACTCATGTCTACCGAGAGGAGAGCAGTTCCCTTGGTGTGGATGGAGATGAGGAAAGAGAAGYCAAAGAAGAGAAAGTTGTGATCTTACCAATTACCATTGGCTAAATAACCAGGCTATAAAATGGAGGTTAGTAAATTATTTTCCTGAAGAAAATGAACCAACGCAGTTTCTTCTTTGATCTTATCATTGCTCAACAGCTTAAACCAGTGCTTCTCAAATTAGCATATGTCAGATTCACCCTGAAGGTTTGTTAAAAAACAGAAAATAGGACTGGGTCTGAGAATTTGCATCTTAACCAGTTTCCAGGTTATRTTGATGCAGGGTCTGGGGGCCACACTTTAAGAACCACGGGACTTGAGGCTTCTTAAGACTAGATCCTTTGACCTGAGTAAAATTTAAAAGCAGCCTAATATTTATACATAAAGAAGGGGAAATTTTCAGAGGCCTTTTCACATGACTTTTGGTAACTTGCCCCTTGCCCCTCCTCCACCCCAAATCTTCTATTATTCTCTAAGTCCTACATGCCTAAGAGGGGATGGCGTGGTGTTAGGTTAATGATAATAAGCAAAAACTCCTGGAGGTTTGTTTTTGCACAGCCAGAAGATAAAGTAAGTCTTTAATTTTTTCACCTACTCCAATTTTGTTGTAGCTTGAATTTTTATTTTTACATAACTGATACACAGACATGTTGATGCCCATCTTAACAAAGTTGACATCTGAGATCATAAGAAGTGTTGCTATTTTGCTCTTACCCAAAGTGCTGGACATAGTTGTAACTAATTAACTTAGCACACTGAGGCTCATATTTTTGTCAAGTCCTGTTAAATAAACTATGATAAATGGCTCTGATGGTTTCATTATTGAGAAAAAAAACCAAATAGGCAGAGAATTACTATAGGATAAAGCCAAGAATGGTTTGGTGAAGTTTGGCAAYAAGTCATGCTTGGTTAAACTGTCACAAAAATTTTAAAAGCAAGTTGGAAGACTGGTCATCAATTCAATTGATTTCTTTTCATAAAACATGCATTTTATTCTYCATGTTCCTCTCGTACTATCAAAAATGAAAAAAACATCCCCGTGACCATGAAAATATGACACAGGTCAAGAAACGAACTTGAACCTTTGCTTTTGGTTTCTTGTCTTAACGAGAAAAGTAATGATTGCCCAAAAACACTGTAGGAAGAGATTCAGTTTCATTTCAACTGGAACCATGGTGTCACTGATGAAAACCTACAATRTGGCCCACGTCACTCAGTCAAATCCTCCATTAGTCTTTTAGTTTCAAAAATCAGGGGATTTTTCCTGAGGCAGTGGAAGGTGAGGAGGTAAGACCGGTAGCTTTAGACAGGAAAGATATCCACCAACAAACACTTATTAAGCATCTATCTCTCATCTCCTTCATGAGCTCCTTAACATGTCAGTATTGCTAAGTGGAGACTAATTTTAATGAACATTTAAATGCAGAGAATTAAGCAGCCCTTGGGGAGTAAAGATTTTTTTCCATTACTTATTGGTGCATTATAGTTGTACATAATGGTGGGATTTGTTGTTATATATTTGTACATGCACACAATATAATTKTGCCAATATCATTGGGGTATAAAAGATTTATAAACCAGCATAGGTATCACTTTTTCTAAGAATTAAACTCAAAAATGAACGTTCAGCTACCCGAGAGCTGGGATCAGCTTTGTCACCAGGGTTTAACACAGTGTCTGACCCAGCAAAAGTACCCAAGGGGCATGGACAGAATATCACTCACCATTTCTGAGGCCAGGGAGACTAGCTTCAGGCTTTTATGTTAGGAATAACTACTGGTTCCAACCTCATGAGGCAGCCTGTTTGTAAATGCAGAATGTCCAACTCAAAAATGGTTGAATKGGTGGGTTTGAGTAGATTAGGGAATTCATCAGGACCACAATGAAAAGACCTACATAACAAGTGACCATGCGGAGAGAGGGCTGATTCTCTCTAAATGGGGAATTTCCACTMCTCAGTTTAGGATGGGCAACAAGTTCGCCCCCTGCTGGTGTCTTCACTTATTGTCAGAAGTCAGTGTATTTTTATTTTATCTGTCAGTGTTCTGCCTATGCAGCCCCTCTCAATTGAAGGGCTTTCTTTGTGGTCTATAGAAAACTAATGACTACCTAGGAAGAACTTTGAAAACATAAAGCRTACAATATTCTTTGATTATGTAGTCTATCTGAAATTGAATGGAGCAAAAAAACTGGACATGAAAAGTTCAAAGTGTCCTTCCTTAGGGTTCTTTCTTCTAATTCCAAGGCATTTTTTTCTCTTTCTAAAATTAATGATGAAGAGTGAGCTGTGAAAAAATTCAAAACTGGATTTTTAATCCCAGGTAAGTGGCATAACTTKTAAGCAGGTAGCTGCTTTTTTGTTAGTTAATATTTAATCTGATGCTTCAAAGGTCATTGAAAACCAGTTAAAATGTTACCCAACAAATGCTCTGGTTACTTCTAATGATGTTAAAATGTAAATTCCTAGCCTTCCTGTGGAAGAGGAGTCCTTTGAAAGCAGTGGACTTCTGGTCCAGGATATTGAGTTAGGCTAGCATTGTTTCAGACAGGGTTCCTGTAGCCTTGGGACTCTGGGTGCTCAGAGGTGGCTTACTCCCCAGCAGGAGGGGGTTTCATATGCAACCCAGCTATTTCTGTAAGGTGGGTCACCATATATATGTAGGTATGACTATATTTCTGTTTTATTTGATCCCAGCTGTCTGACATTATTCAAATTCCTAAATGTTTCCAAGGCCCACTGATTAAAAGAAAATAAAAACTACCCACATTAACATTTGTGAGGAGTAAATGAGATCAATCACTGATTTTCTCTAAATAGGGAATCAATAGGAGAGGACTCAGGACAGTATCTGATACAATAAGTACTCTTTTTCTTCTAAGAATCTGGTCTAGGCCAGCTGACCATAAAGTTACAAGGACCAATGAATTGCTAACAACATAAAAACTTGTAATGGCAGACCCAGCTAATTTGAATTGTTGATCATCTGTATAAACTATGTAATCAGGGGCTGGGGGTGTAGACTGGCATGTGTAGAGACCTGGGTTCCATCCCAGTACCACCACCACCACCAAAAAAAAAAAAAAAAAAAAAAGGTGTAATCACTTTCAAGGTTGTAAGAAAAGAGACTGATGAAAAACTGAATTTATTTTTAACTAAGTTAGCAAAAAGAGCTGTTTGATTAAGGAATTACATTGTTTGAAGGTACTTTATCACTACTAACTTATGTAAGAAAACTCATAAATCATCCTTATCTTTCATTTTGTCCAAGATGCACAGTTGTCCACTCCAGGCAACACCTGAGCCGTTTAGTTTATTTCTGCTCAAAATACAGAAAATTCTGYCCACATGCATATTTCCCTATTCAGATATTCTATCCAATGCATTTACATTCTTCTCCATAGTGTAACTCAGTGCACATTTACTCTGTGCTTTTGAAAGAGTTGCAAGAAAATGATCTCTATATTCCAGCTCATCATGACTCAGCATTGAAGGTATTTTTATCCAGATCTCTTAAATCAGCATCCCATTCGACACAGCTCCCATCGGAACACTGGTCTGCCCTTTCTTACTGGCAGTGTGAAYGCATCATTTTTAATGCTAATGGGGCAGATTTTCTCCTAGTTCATTTTCCATGGTCAAATCACTGATCTTGCTATTTAGATGCCATGAACTAGCACCAGGACCATCAGGGGCTGATGAATTATTTGATATCAATTTTGGAAAGCAGGATACTGCTGTAATAATTACAGAAGTGGCTTTTGGGACTGTGTAATGGGTGGAGGCTGGAAGTATTTGAAGCCTTGGAGAGAAAGAGCCTAGAAAACCTTAAGAGACTGTTGGTAGAAATGCAGTCATTAAAGGTAGTTCTGGGAAGGGCTCAGAAAGAGGTGAGGAGAGATACAGAGAGATCTCCCATTGTCTTTTAGAGAATCCTTGCATCTCCATGTACAGAATGTTGCTAGACTTATGAACATCACCATGCTTCTGGTGAAGTCTCGGATGGGAGGAAGAACATGTTATTGGACACTAAAGGAAAAGTGACATTGTTATAAAGTAGCAGAGAACTGGAGTGACTTGGGTTGTGCCATTGGAAAGAAAGTAGAGCTTGYAACTGACAATGAACTTGGGTATCTGGTTGGGGAGATTTCCAAGTACGATGTGGAAGGTGCAGCCTGATTTCTCCTTGGTGTTTATAGTAAAATGTGAGAAGAGAGAAAGAAATTGAAGCAGGCACTGCTACACAGAAAGGAGTTGGCACCTGTCAACTTGGAGAGTTCTTAGCCTCTCTAGACAGTGCACTACAGACATAGCCAAGAGTGTGGCTTGRCAACTGTTTGCTAAATAAATGAGGTGTGTGACTCATGGATCTACTCAGAGGTCTCAGCTGAAGCCAGGAAGTGAGAGGCAGTTGTTCAGGAAAGATCTGTGGACGATCCTCTGGTCTGGTGTCTTGGATCCCTTTGATTGCAAGGGAGGCTGACAAGGTTTTTGAGTTCTGTAGCAGAAACATTTCCAGTCTGGACTGAAAGGCTCAGAACAAAATTAATGAAGAATAACTTAAAGGCCAGAGCCTTGGGTGCAGAGGTCTGGGTCAACAGGACCTCCTCATGCAGGCCCACTGCCCCAGTGGTCCARCTGGGTGGGACTGCTGCCCCTTGGGCCCAGAGAAAGAAGCAKCAGAGCTTAGAGCACTGTTCTCAAGCCCTGAAATCTAATGGGATTTTCCCTCCTAGGTTTTGGATTTGGCTGGAATTCCTCTTTTCTCTTCCCAGATTCTCCTTTTTGGAAGGAAAATATCTATCCTATGCCTGGAATATTGTATTTGGTAAGCACATAACTGTTTCTGATTCCAGAAGTCCACATTTGGAGAGAAATTTTGGCCCAGAATGAATCATGCTCCAAGCCTGATCCATAACTGCTTTGGWTGATGAAATTTGGGACTTTGAGGTGATGATATTTAGATGGCATTTTGGACTTGTATTCGATGGGAGGATAGTTAAGAGTTTTGAGGGTGTGGGGATGGGATGCATGTACTTTGCACATCGAGAAGACATGATTTTGGGGGGGGGCTAGAGTTGACTGTGTCCCCCAGAAAGATATGTTTAAGTCCTAACCCCCAGTAAGTCAGGTGTGACCTTCCTGAAAACMGAGGCCTTGCAGATGTCATTAGTTAAGATGAAGTCGTGCTGGAGTAGGGTGGGTCCTGATCAATAGCTGGTGTCCCTGTAAGAAATGAAGAAGAGACACGGAGACGTACAAAGCGAGAAGACAGCCAGGGCAGAGAACAGAGTGGCGTGATACACCTACAGGACAGGAACGCTGAGGACCGCGGCCAACACTGAAGCCGGGAAGATGCAAGGAGGGATCCCCCTTCAGGTTTCAGAGGGCACATGGCCCTGTCTAGGTCTTGTTTAGGGCTTTCAGTCATTAGATTTATGACACAATAGATTTTCGTTGTTTTAATATGCATAGTTTGTGGTACTTAATCACAGCAACTATAGGCACTAATACAGATTCCAGTGCACCTGATTTGAATTTATATCATTTGCACAAAATACGTGATCCATTAATTGCCCAAGAAACACAATAGGGCTGGGGAGGCAACTCAGTGATAGAGGGCTTGCCTCCATCTTCAGCACTGAAAAAAACATTATTTTTCACGGAAATCTGCTTTGTCCTGGCTTTCTCTTTCTATATTTCCATTGTTGTAAAAAAGAAATGGGACAGATGAAATTTTATTTACATGTGAGGTGAAATCTTCCAGTTTATTTTCGTAGCTGCCCATAAATATCTTTAGCCAGGTAATGGGCATGAGCCAATTCCCCACGTAAGCATTTGAAAACTGAGATGTCCTCCTAAGAGACTGCAATGTAAGTTGTAAAAACTGAACGTTATAGGAAAT